AAAATGATGAATTTCCCCTTTTCATTAAGGATACTGAGGGCTCTCTAATTAGCCACAAGGGCAAGTGGGCTCCTGGCTCTGGGTAAAATGATGAAGAGGAATGATCAAACCTTTCTCCATTTTATATCTGCCTCCCTGGATTTCAATCTTTTCCTTCTCCTGCTGCAGGTTAGTATTCTGTTTCACAAGACAGAAAACAGCCGCTACAACAACTTCCTATGTCACCTTTCCTCTGCTGTTTTGCATAGTAAGCAGCAAGATTATGATAGCTTCCGCTGGTAGCGGTAAAGCAGGAGAGAAACGGTCCAGAAACATTTAGAGGAAATCAGTAATGTTTGGTCATGAGTTGATATGGAGGGCGAGAGAGGTTGTGATAGAATCTGGTTTGTGGCTAGTGCCATAGAATGGCAGTGGTAGAATTCTCTGGGCTGAGGAACACTGAACTAGATGAGCTTGCTTTTAGACATACTGAGTATAAGGTGACTCACGAATGTTTCCCTATAGCACAGACTTGTTTCTGGACTTAAATGCCTTTTTTAAGCTGTATTCTCTAGAGAAGCACAAAGAGTACAGCAGATATATATAGGCAGTCCCCAGAGAGGATATGAAGGTCTGACTTATGGACAATTCCTACAATTCCTTAATGTAGGCCTTAAACTAGATCTGTCATGGTCAACGAAATAAAACAGGAATAGGTCAGAATTTTAAACAATTCAGGTGATTTGTCACAGTAACTGAAATGGGAAAAATTACAGGTTTAACCTCTGGAACGGAAGAGTCAGAAGAGGCATTAGGGAGCCCTTTCAGGAGCCTGAGCTATAAGACTGAGTTACTGACAGGGCTGTGGAGAGCCACACACATTCAAACCAACATGGTTGGCCTCCACCTTTGAGCAGAGAGAGTATCACCATCTTGGAACAGGTCACTGCCATCTTTTAAGCCCTGCTTAGATTACTTTGAAGCAGTTGAACCCTTTTGGGTAACAAATTCTTTATCAAATTCTTTCTTCATCACAATCTGTCACTTGCTGCACATATCCAGCTTTTAAATCACTTTAAATGCATCAAGTCTTTTTGCACTAAAGGTTAAATAAGAATCATTTGTACCTGTTCTGATTGGCCTACAAATTCTTAAAAACACAGATTTTTATGTGTGAACTGTATGTCAATGAAACAATTTAAAATAAATAATATAATGGGGAAAAAACCCAACAGGTTTTGTTTGTAACCCTGTGTAATAGTTAAAAGTTCTGTGTCAAGTTGGCTGGTCGAGTCTCAGTGGTTTGACAGTAAACAGTAGCCCCTTATGATGAGATCTAACAAAATGGAATCACCTCTATAATGAGATCTGCTATTAGCAGCCTATCAATCAAAAGGAAGTTTGCTCAGGGATGTGGGCTACTTCCAGTATAAGTCGACACTGTGTCAAAGCTTGCTTGCTTTTAGCTGATTCTGGATCCCCTATCTGACTCATCAACCTCTAAGACTCTTTGGACTTGAGTCAGCCTGCTTTTGCAATCCTAGAAGTCATTAAGTCTGCTAACTTACCAGAAAACCTTGAATTCAATTGCCTCTGTAGCCACAAATCTGCTATGTCTAACAAATGACCAACAAACTTAGAATCTGCCTGCTTCTACAACTGTGTGCACAATTAAAAAACAAACACCTTTCTATATACATATCTATACACGCTTCACTAGTTTTGTTTCTCTAGAGAACACAGCCTGTGACACCCGGGGACTGCTGGTATAGATATATTGAGATTTACTTAGAGGACAATGGTTCAGAGCATTGTGGAAGTTAGCAAGTCCAAAATCTGTGGGTCAAGCAATAGGCTGTATATGCTTCTGTTGATCCATGTGGTTGCAGGAGCTGATAAACCCAAAATCGGCAGGTCAAGTAATTGGCTAGAGGCTTCTCCAAGAATTCTTCAAGATGAATGCTGAATGAGAGTGCAACACTTGCCAGAATATCCATATATTTGATAGGCCACACCCCCAACAAAACACCTCTTCCAATTGATTGGCTGCTCACATTGGATCACAAAATGGAAGATGATTACATTTCACTAAGAATCATGACCTAACTAGGTGGTCATATAACCTTAACTATTTACAATATCTAAATACTTCCTTCATTTTCTATCATTTTAAAGACATTCCATATTTAATATGACTAAAAGCAAGTTCACAGTAGGATATAGTAAAACCAAACCAAACACCCATTGTCATCAATTAGGATTTAGAGTGACCCTATACAGGGTTTCTAAGACTTTGTAAATCTTTATAGGAGCAAATAGCCTCATCTTCCTCCCTAGGAATGCTGGTAGGTTCAAACTGCTGACCTTGTGGTTAACAATCCAAGGTTTACCTGACGATGCCACCAGTAGCCCATAGCAGAAACTTAATACTACTGATTAAATTATATAAGCACTTAATTAGCTTAATACGTGAAAGGGGGATGAATAATTAAGTAATTTTCTCAAGAAGGATAAAGCCTTAAACCAGGGATCCTCAAACTACAGCCCAAGGGCCACATGCGGTCCGCCAAGGACATTTACCTGGCCCACCGGGTGTTTTTGCCCC